GCTAACTGACGTTAATTGCATTTCAACTCTTCCAGCTCGGTCCACGCTAAATATTGCTGGTAAAACTTTACCGTCGCAATTTTCGTAAGCTTTAGGCGATATTAATTGGCGCGCTGTACCGGCACAACAATCGCGAGCATTTCATTTCGACGAAGGTAATTTCTAAGGACGAAAACATCCTTTTATTTTGACGATTCTGAGAAAGATCGCAGCTATTATTATTGTTGGGAATTTCAACTATTTATATTATAGGACACATCATTTAGTTCAATATTACTTGATTTGGTCATCTGATAATGTACCTTATTTTACAAAAGGAATTTAGATACCCTAAAGTCATTAAGCTATACTTAATTAGTTTCACCGTACTTTAGGCCCATTTACCAGCCCCTTGGGACTGTAAACACACACCCCGTACAACCCTCAGTGGGAGGGATTTCGAGTGTCGGGAGGACTGGTCCACGACGGATGAGCAAACTTCGCATTTGTTACTAGAATCTCCTATTTTTGAAATCAGTATACAGGGTGTTCGGGCACCCCTGGAAAAAATCTCAATGGGAGATTCTAGAGGCCAAAATGAAACGAAAATCAAGACTATCAAATTCTTGACTGGGGCTTTGTTAAACAGTTATTGAAAAATTTCAAATCATTCTGAAAAAATTATTTTTGGTTGCGAGGGTCGATTATAATCATTTCTGGTCATTACACATACCCCCGAAATCCTACCCACTTTCGAGAAAAAAATTCGACTATCTACAGATATTTTTAGACAAAAAAAAAAATTTTTCAAATCATTCTAAAAAAATTATTTTCAGTTGGAGGGGTCGATTACAATCATTTTTGGTCATTATACATACCCTCGAAATCCTACCCACTTTCGAGAAAAAAAATCATTACTGAAAATGTAATGTCTGACCAGGCGTATACCTATTCTCCTTAAATTTTACGGCGAAAAAGAAATATTCGAATCATTTTGGAAAAATTATTTTCGGTTGCGGGGGTAAATTACAGTCATTTTTTATGATTAGACGTACCCTCGAAATCCTACCCACTTTCGAGAAAAAAATTCGAGAAGGTGTGAAATTTTTCGACAAAATTAAAAAATTGAAAATCGTTCTGAAAAAATTATTTTCGTTTGCGGGGGGTATATATGTATAATTGTTAACACGTGTATATATATTTTTTAATAAATTTAAAGTGTTTGTAAATAGTTATTAGACTTATCTATTTACTAAATAACTCGGATCCACGAATCTTGTGGTAGCCAACAATTATTGTTATTTTTTAAAAATTTATTTAATGGTACAGAGGGTAATATTCTAATCTTTAATTTGACCGGATAGTTTATTGCCCATCGTTAATTTGTCACCCTCGTGAAAGCTGTCTGGTAGCAACAGTTTTTGCGTGAAACGCGCGGCCATCAAAGTGTTAAGCTATCAAAGAACAGTTTCTGGCACAAAGTGGATTAAAATGAAGAGGATTCGCCAGCAAACGCGGTAATATCGGCCACGCGCGATTGGATATTTACGGCTTATCTTTATTGTCGCAAAAACGAGGACGGCCGTGCGTCAAGTGAACTTTTTAAGAGGTCGTATCGTCGAGCGTTTCGTTAACTGCGTCGAATGCGTACATATTCCAGAGCAGGTCACAACGAGTGTACCATCGTAATCGCGACTCGTAAAGTATCGTTCGTTTGTGATACGATTCTTCGATAAACGTAAAAATATATTCTAATAACACCACCTGACCCGTTTGCTTTTTTACGCATATTTTTTTAACGAAAGAAAATATCTTCTTTTCGAGAAAATATTTCTATTTTTAATAGAATCAGAAATCAATCTCTTTTCTTAAGTTATCTACCAAGTATCGATGGTTAAATTAAAACAAACCAATTCGTGCAACATAAATAATCGTCACACCTAATTCTCTGACGATCTGGAAACGCGATGTTGGAGAACACGGTGGAAGAAAATTATTTCAATGAAGATGGTATCAACGAGATGAGAGTGCACGGAATTAAAAGTTATCAAGAGCATCCCTTCCAGCTATACAATTAAATGCAATAAACGCGGATAACGTTCCGAAAGTAATAACAGAGCTGGGCGGGAACAACTTTCCTGGAAGCTTTTTTCGATCTGGACCAACGACCTTATCTACTCCCGGAGAACGAATGTGTCGGTGTTTACACGATTCCTACTCACACCCCCGCAAATTCCCTTTTGTTTATCGTTGTACACGCCCCTGTTTCCCTGTTTCAACGTCGTCCTTTCCCTTTTCAGCTGCGTCCGGTATTTTTTGCTCTAATTAACCGCCACCGACCGCGTTTCGAACCCAGACTCTAGTAGCTCTGATCCGCGTGTTCCATTTCCCATCAGAAGTCTGTTTCTCGGGTGCAAAGGAATTTTTTTTTCATATATTACTCCTGCAGGGACGGAAATTCGTTAAAGAATTAAAGTTGGTAATTACGACTGCTCTCGAAAATAAAAATTGCAACTACTCGGGGGATCGTTTATCAAATCGATCTACTTTTACAGAATCCTCTTCAGGCATTAACAAGTTGTCGTTAAAAGGGAGAAAATAGACCCATATAAAATGATTCGAAAAAAAAGAACTAATCGCATTGAAAGAAGTTGTTAAAATCCTTCCAGTTAACTTCTCTGTTTTCGATACGATAATAGTTATGTGCTTCCAATATTAAAGAGGGAACGTTTCGAAGCGAACGTTACAAAGTGAATAAACTATAATGTTACTGAAACGACAGAACGCAGTCATTTCCTAGCCCATTTCCCGAATGCGTTACTGCAAGTACGTAGGAAGGAACATTAAAGTTCTAATTAGAATTCGAGTTTTCTCTGACCTCGTATAAAAGCAATCTAAATACTAAAGCGAAGGTGTATAATAATCTTCCGTTTCAAAAGAAAAATTAAGTGTGTCGTAAATAAAACATTGCTTAAAAATTTATTTCTCGCTATTCGAAAAAGTATAATGATTCAAATACTAATACAGGTAACCCTCCTATAACACGATAGATGGGTTCCTAGAAAATGCCGTGTTGTATGAAATCGTGTTATATGAGATCCAAAGAAATAAAAAATATTTTTTTTTAATTCTACATAAACAACTTAATTTTTATGAAAAATATAGATGTATGTCTAACACAAAACAAAAAATATTATTTTAATTTAACGCAACTTTAATTTAATAAATTATAATTTGTTTATATATTTTGATGTAAAGCCACTATAGTTCATTATTCCTTCGCTTCATTATTTTAAGGTAATTTAGTTTTTAAATATGTTAAGCAAACATCATGTTATCCAGTATTAGAGCGAAACCGTGTTGTAGGAGGGCTACCTGTATATTACAATCGTCAATTTCTCTAAAAAAATTATAACGAATATTTGTTTTCGAAGCAGTAACGCATTACCAATATTTGCACACGTTGCCATTTTTGCTAATAAAGAAATAAAATATTGCTGTTACATAACCTGCAATGCGAAGGTAATTTGTATGAAATCGAGTTATAATTAATTAGTAGGATCATCAGACACGCCGTGGCGTAATAAGATTTTCGCGATGCGATGATTCAGCGTGAAAAAGTAGAAAGTTATCTTATCGCGAGCACCACGAAATATGACATGGCGGGCACGTATACGACGATAACGCGGAGGAACGAAAATGGTTGGGGTGAAAAAGGATTCGCCAAAATCGCATTGTAAGCTCTTTGAAGATATCCCTCTTTCTGACTCAAGACGCGAAGCGTGAGAGATCGTCGAGAATCTTTTTTCATGGGGTCGTATATCGTTGAGGGATAAGTGCACAAGCAAAATGTAAAATGTTCTAACATTTACGCGAGAAATTCTGTAAATATACCGAAAGATATATTTAAAACTTTTTTGTGCTAAATAAATTATCAGAACAGATCGAATACATGAAAAATTATAAAAATGAGTATAAAAAGGAACAGTGTTTATAATAAGAGATAATATAATACATTTTAAATGCGAACAGGTTAGATGTTCATAAAAGATTCGAAACGATTTTATAATTATACTTCAAGTTGGTTATTCTAAAAATGTTTTCCTTAATAATTTAGGATGATATTTTTGGTAATCTTCTCGCGAATTAATATTAGTTTGTTTGCATTAGGTTAATATCTATCAAACGTAATCAGCACAATAATTTCGAAATATATTCTTGGTGTTTTTTTGTTCGAATCTTTTAACGCTATGAGAGTTTGTTAATTTGAAAGTAATGTGAGAAGTGCATTGAAAATACTTACTCATGGTTGTTTATACTGCATTCCTGCAAAAAATATTAGGGCGATGGGCAGAGCGGTAGAAAAACCACAAAAGTACACTGAACGAGGACACTTTACTATAAAACACTACAAAATACACGAGTGATTAGGCAAGGAACGTGTCAGTACATGTTTAAAGCAAAAGTATGTAATAAACACGATGGCGAACCATAAGGCCGATTCGTTTAGTTCGGCCGCTTGGCGACTCGTGCCGGTAGGTGGCGACACGTGCTGTGGAGATTTGGGCGCCAATCAGTGGCTTCCATGTAAGCACGCTCTTACATATTCTAAAGACGCGCCATATTGTCTACTGCGCATAACGATTGCGCAAGTTCTGCCGCGTAAAAGTTCTCGTTCGTATCTTGGAAGATTGAGATTGTGTCCTGTGAAATATTTTATTACTGTTATAATTAAGTGCACAGTTTTGTTGAATTTAACTTTAATAATTCCCATTAGTCCCCCTGCAAGTGTTAAGTAATCCCTTAATAGATTCTAGTAATTGTTACTTTCGTAAAATATGAATTGTTAGAATCATAGCGCCAATGCTTTTTCAATTTCACTGTTACGAACGTTTGGACGTGTTAATATTGCCAACCTCTATTCATTTTTTACTAAGGTACGAAGACAAAATTTATGACTCTTTATTTTTAATGCTCAGTATAGTAATACTCGAGATATTAATATCTTCTCATTGTTACAGTTTCAGTGTGGTGGATTTCCGTGCGTCGAGAATGTCAAACACAAGTCGCCAAGGGTAAGTCTCATAATATGACATTATGTTGCATGTGCTATAAAAGATTAATATGCTGTCGCATGCCTGAACCAGCAATATAGTTTTCGAAGTTTCGAATGAATTAATTGTAAATTAAATTGTTGTCGAAGACTAGTTAAGATCTTTCGCAAAACTATTCGTAACTCTGAGTTCGTTATTCAAAATGGAGGACACCGAACTCGTGTCTATATACACCAATTCGTGCAATAAATTTTCTACTTCCAATCAACGTAGTTTAAAAAGATCTCTGGTGGGATTGGCTCCTTTGTTTCCGTTAAAGAAGCTTGGTTGGATGAATTTGCGGGTATTCCGGCGTCTGTCTTAACTAATCACATTATTCGAATCCAATTAATGGAGCCTCGATGACGGGACGACACTGTCGAGCCCGGAGCTTCTCCACGATTTCATTCGGTCGCTTGTATACAGACGATCGTAATTAAACGCACATTCGGTGCATGTATGCAGAAACCTCGCGTTGTTTGCGTATAGCAATTCGGAACGTACTAGATTGAATGTAACGCTGGCCAGTCAATGCTGTGAATGCACACACGATCCTGCTGTGTTCGTCTTACGGGGCCTATTACCGAACTTCGGCCGTCAGATGTCTCTATTGACTGTCCAACGAATAATGATGCGGTTGAAAATTAGCATGTCTTCTCATTATCGATAGTCTTTTAATATCCATTTTCTCCATCGTTTGTCACTATTATTATAGTATGATATCAGTTTTCGCTATTTCAAATTTTTTACTATTTCTACACATGTTCTGTTCGCTTAATCGTTTTCCGAAATTAAAAAATTGAATATCAGTGAAACGATTAGCCGTGGAGCAAGCGCTCATTAAAATTTCTTTTATTCGTTTCCACGTACTAGTTTCGTTTGTACTTGTAATTCAGACACAGTCTATATAACACGTAGAACAGCCATAATGGAAAGACCAATTATCGGTGAAATAACAATATCCACTTTGGAGAAATGGCAATTAGGCGCATAGGAAGTCTCTCTTGCAGATTACAAGCGCCAGTGAATATCGAATGAAATTCAATAAAATACTGAAACAAGAAACAGACGAGTAGAATTTCCCTTTTTCGTAAAAACCATTAATTCATAAATGTAATTAATAGAATATTGATAATTTCACACAATATTAACACTTTTTCCCCCAGTATGTTACTACATATTCTGATTTTGAGAATACATTTGACAATTAAAATTTTTTTAGACTTGCACATTTCTCCTGATACGTAGTAACTCTGCCAAGACTTTTAAGTATTAGTATACGTGTGTTCCAAAGAGCTCTCGACGAGTATAGGCAAAACGTGTATTCAACTGGTGTCAATGGTTGCGCAGGAATAATATCAGGGTGCAAACACGTAAAGTAAAGTGTCGCGTGGAAATCGGAGACAGAAAAAGGAACCGAGCGTGCAGTAAACTTCGAAACGGATAAGACGTAGTAGAGTCGAAAATAGTCCGGAAGGAGGGACTCTAGAAAACAATGTGCTGCACGTATCTATGTACATATAAGGTACCTACATACGACTGCATTGCGTCAGATGCATCGTATGCTCGGTGCATTAGGAGCGGAATAACGATACATCGTTCGTCGCCTAGCATCGCGTCGTGATTTGCTTCGGGAGTAATAATATTACACGTTCTACAGTATATTTTCCGCCTGACACTGCTGTTAGATGCTAGAATTATTCGAGTCTCTTCTTCCTATAACAAAACAAAAATTTCACTTGCCTTTCACGGCTCAAACTTTATCTTTTTTACGATTCTTAGACAAACTTGAGGGGACAATTTTTTAATGGATTATGTGGTATCAGGATATAGCTGTGACAGAAAATATCATTCTACTTGGAAAAGATGTAGGGTGTTCGGCCACCCCTGGGAAAAATTTCAATGGGAGATTTTAGAGGCCAAAATAAGACGAAAATCAAGAATATCAAATTTCTTGAATGACGCTTCATTAAAAAGTTATTAAAAAATTTCAAATCATTCTGAAAAAATTATTTTTGGGTGCGGGGCTCAATTATAATCATTTTTGGTGAATACACATACCCTGAATTTCTACCCACTTTCGAGAAAAAAATTCGAGTAGGTACTGTTTGTAGACGAAATTAAAAAATTTCAAATCATACTAAAAAAATTATATTTAGTTACAAGGACCAATTACAAGCATTTTTGGTGAATAGACATACCCCGAAATCCTACACATTTTCGAGAAAAAAATTCGAATAGGTGCGTACATTTTTCGGCGAAAAAAAAAATTTCAAATCATTCTAAAAAAATTATTTTTGGTTGCGGGAGTCAATTACAATAATTTCTGGTGAATACACATACCCCCGAATTCCTAAGTATTTTCGAGAAAAAAATTCTTTACCGAAAATATACTGTGTGGCCGGAAATGTTTCTATAACTTTTTTAACGAAACCTCAATCAACAAATTAGTATCCTTGATTTTCGTCTCATTTTGGCCTCTAGAATCTTCTATTAAAATTTTTTCTAGAGGTGGCTGAGCACCCTGTATATGTATGTTTTACTTTGAGTCGAGCAGTATTTGATATTGTATATATTATAATTTTTTATAATTCTTCGTACTTATACCTTCTTCTATCGCTAATACAGTCGTCTTTATTTTGTAATTAAGTCCAAACAAGAGTTTCCCACAGTCGCGACCAGAGGGCTACGCTGAACCTTTATCTTTCTCACTAGTACTCGACCACCAATTTCGATGAAACGTTTCTCTCTCGTCACACACACAATTCGTCACAATTTACACCGTTTGATGTTATCATTTATCGAGGTCTATTATCGTTCTGTAATAGAAAAGTGAGATACACTTAACCTTTATCTTTCTCACTAGTACTCGATCGACCACCTCTTTATATATGATCCTCGATGAAACGTTCCTCTCTGGACACACCTGGCACCATTTTATATAATTTACACTGTTTGAGCTTCTCATTTATCGAGGCCTATTATCGTTCTGAAATAGAAGAGTGAGATTGTTTCTGGAATGGTTTTGCAATCGAAATAAGTTGCCTATCAGTATCCATTAAAAACAGTGAGAAGCTGACGGTACGCGTCATAAATCCCCGCGTGAAACGTTCTAAATGCCCTCCGCAGGAAGACGCGAACGTTAGCAAGATCGATCGTTGAGAAAGGAGTGCGCCAGGAGGTACTCTTTCGTAAGATTCGGTACACATCGGGGGCTGCATGGAAAAGTGGGCCGCGGGGGAGGGGAACGAGGGAATCGTTAGTAGAAATGAAAACAAATTGCCTGGGCGGGCGGCTTCCGAGAGCCGAAGCCGCGGGGGTAGCGCGGTGTGATTTGACAAATGGCGTATGATAAAAGTGCGCAACGTTCATTAAGGGAAATGGTCCGCGGCGGTAATGCAACCCCCGATCGTAAAACTGATGCATTGTAAACAAGTTCAGGGCATATCGAGCGATACGCTTCCCCGCGAGCCGCGTAACAGTTTCGTACGTCAATAGTTCAGCGACGCGTTTTACAACGTTATGTCATCCGGGTTTAAGTACGCTTTTAACCCTTTCAGTGCCAAGATTCTAAATTCTTCGCGAACTGTACGCGTCGACCGGTCGCTAAGAGACTTCCAGCCCCGTCGAATGCCCTTTTACGTTTTTCTCGTAAAAGCCTGTCGCGCGTTAAATTATTCAAACATTGTATCGCTGCGTTACGTGACGTTGCCTTTCATGGACCACTTACTATTACTTTTTTGGCAAGCATATTATAATGGTCTAAATTTAGAAATGAAAAGGGAATTACACAGGAAGTAACCAGTGGCAATAGAATGTGGAGTTTAGAAAGTGAATATTAAATAAATCTCTCTAACAATCTTACAAGTGTACGAAATATATTTTTGCATACAATGCATGACACTTAAAATAGAAACCAGACTATTCATGGTGTTTATTTCTTCGAATCTTTCAATAAAATAACGTCGTCAAGTTCTTGTTAAAAAAGGCTATTTCAGGGAATTGTATCGTGGACCAGGAAAAAGACACGTACGAACATTCGTGTGACACTCTTTAATAAATCCGGACAAAACGTCCAAGTGTTCTGCCAAATGGATTGCCGTTCAAATTAATTTCAAATTAACGTTTTTCGAGCGAGTTTCTTGCATACGCGTATATTCGTACTTGGAAGAAATAATGTCTTTGAAGGTGCAGTAACCTGGATGCACAAATTAACCAGAAGGGTTTCCTATTATATCGGTAAATCCTATCTGGAATCAGTTAACTACAAAGATTGAGCCACTCGATATTTGATACTGCTTTAACGTACTTGACGACATAATCTCCTCGACGATGTCGAGAACAGTTAGCGAAACTGGGAAAAGAATCTTGACAATTCAAGGCTTCTTCAACTCATACCCTAGAACCTGAAGAGGGTTTCGATACGCGTATCGAGATCTTGTGATGTTGAGAGAGATCGAAACATCTGCAGAGTTTCCGCCATATTGATTCCCGTTTCCTTTACTTTCGGAATTTTAAAATTACACTGGTCCAGTTGAAAGAAAAAATGTGGTGGACGTGGAAGCTTTTTCGAGACGGTCCTCTTTTTAAATTTAATCCAATTGGCCAATGTTTATTCTTTATTTTGTGTACAATAATTTTGAATTTGTAAATCATGATAATTTATCGAAGATTACAATTGTCGTTCGTGGATTTAAAGAAAGTTTGGCTAGTATTAAATTTTTGTAATTTATTTTGTACTTAAAGAGTATTCTAGAATTACAAATTTTGCTCTCTCGAACTTGGAATACGTTTATGACAGTATAAAAATGAATAGTTGCTTTATATTATAAATAATTTGGTATTGAAGAGGAAATTGTCTATTCGTGTATAGTTGATTTAACCAACAGAAATGCAACATTCTTTTATCTCGGTTCGAAGGAATACAGGGCAACGCTGGATTAAGGTCCAACGAGACTTATGTACATAATCGCCTTAAAACA